TGTTCTATTCTCTAAAATGTCTTTATTAATCATGTGTATTGGCACTAGTTTTTAATGAAACTTGTAACATGTGCAATCAATATAAGGATTATTTTAGGAAAAATAATAAATGTGTGAGATAAAGTAAATTGAGATTTTATATTTAAGAGTGAATTGAATTTTTAACTAGATCTTATACTAAGCACATGAGATAGTATTCTAGTGGTAGTGTGGCTTCAAAATTCCTACAAGTTTTTTTTCTAAAACAAAAAAAAATTACAACCGGAGCTGCTGAAAACTTCACAAAAAACGCTTTGGTTTTGGCAAAGTATGAGGCAAGAATCATTGCGAAGGCAACGGAGAGGCCATGGATAAATTTTTATGGGTTGGTCCATTATGGGGCACATTTTTGGGCATTCAGTTTCTAAATGGGTCACAAAGTGAATGACAAAAACTGAAAAAGAGGAATTGGTTTTTGGTTTGGGAAAATGACAGATAAAGAAGGTGGAATTCATGAAATTCCAGTTTGGGAAGCTAAGAAAATCTAAGGACAGAGAGGGAAGTCCTTTCCAAATTGGAATTTTGAAATTCAGTGAAATGACAAAAATGCCCTTTGTCTTTTTTTTTTTTAAAAAAAACTCAGCCCCTCACCAGCCGCCAGCGCCGGCCATCGGTGTGGTGGCTGCCGGTGGAGTTTTTTTTGTAACAGTGTTTTTTTTTTGTGTGGGAGAATATTGCAAGAAATGGTGGGGGTGGGATTTGATCCCACAACCTCTTGGTCATTTGGGTCAACAAAACGGTAGATAACCATTGAGCCATCAAAGACTTGTTAACTTTATAATGCAAACAAAAATATAAGTTGACTCTTTTACTATGACTTCAGCCCGTGACAACAATTTACCTGAGGATAACAAGTCTTAACTGAGAAATAACAAATCTAAATTTGATATTAACAAAACAACTTTTCCTTATACATAACAAGAAATAGCATGTACATTAATTAAAAATGAAAATAATTTATTTGAAAATGACTCGTCTTTATTGGAAAATGACACGTTTAAACGTGAGATTAACAATATGCCTTTTCCTGATACATAACAAGAAGTAGCATGTACATTAATTAAAAATGACAATAACTTATTTGAAAATGACACATCTTTACTGGAAAATAACAAGTCTAAACTTGAGATTAATAATATGTCTTCTCTTGATACATAATCTAAACATGAGAATACATAATCTAAATTTGATATTAACAATGTGTCTTCACTGGAAAATGACACGTCTTTTTGTTGGAACCCCCTCTTTTTTTTTAATTAAAAAATGGGTTAGTTGTCCAATAAAAAGTAACAATAATAGCAGTATTAGTTGTCTTCTCCTGATTCATTTTCCAGTGAAAACACATTGTTAATCTCAAATTTAGATTATGTATTCTCATGTTTAGATTATGTATCAAGAGAAGACACATTATTAATCTCAAGTTTAGACTTGTTATTTTCTAGTAAAGATGTGTCATTTTCAAATAAGTTATTGTCATTTTTAATTAATGTACATGCTTCTTCTTGTTATGTATCAGGAAAAGGCATATTGTTAATCTCATGTTTAAACGTGTCATTTTCCAATAAAGACGAGTCATTTTCAAATAAATTATTTCCATTTTTAATTAATGTACATGCTATTTTTTGTTATGTATCAGGAAAAGTTGCTTTGTTAATATCAAATTTAGACTTGTTATTTCTCAGTTAAGACTTGTCATCCTCAGGTAAATTGTTGTGTAACGGGCTGAAGTCACAGTAAAAGAGTTAACTTATATTTTTGTTTGCATTATAAAGTTAACAAGTCTTTGATGGCCCAATGGTTATCTATCGTTTTGTTGGCCCAAATGACCAAGAGGTTGTGGGATCAAATCCCACACCCACCATTTCTTGCAATATTTTCCCACAAAAAAAAAAACACTGTTACAAAAAAAACTCCACCGACAGCCACCACACCGGTGGCCGGCGGCGGCTGCTGGCTGCCGGCGGCCGGTGAGGGGCTGGGTTTTTTTAAAAAAAAAAAAGACAAAGGGCATTTTTGTCATTTCACTGAATTTCAAAATTTCAATTTGGGAAGGACTTCACTCTCTGTCCTTAGATTTCCTTAGCTTCCCAAACTGGAATTTCATGAATTCCACCTTCTTTATCTGTCATTTTCCCTTTTGGTTTCCTTTTCGACAAGGAATTGGTTCTTGTATTATGAAAAAGAAAATGTGACTATTGATGAGATTTAGTGACGGCATTTAATTAGTGGCAGAATTTTCAATAATTTTTTTGTCAGTAATAAACTGTTTTCTTTTGTAGTGTTGGTTTCATCCATATGTATTAGTATAATTAATTTGAAAAACCAAATATTAAAACTATATGATCATTATTTCGGAAGTTTTAACCCTCGAAAAGAGAGCCAATTATTTCTGAAGTTTCTAACGACAATTCATTAGAAAAATTGCACACAAAAATGTTAAACCTCATAATGTGTGTGCTTGTGTATGTTAGCAACGTCAAATACAAAGGCAATGCAAATAAGTAGTTAGACAGAAATATCTATTTCAATTGAAGATTTTGATCGATGATTATTGCTTCACAGATATATATTACATTGCACATTATGAGCTTGAAAGAGAATAGTAGTCTCTGCGTTGCGCATATCGCACATCATTACTAATAATGAAAGCAAGATGCTGAATTACTAAGGCAAAACCCAAATCACAATAACTAAATAGTTCCATCAAATACAAATAAGATAAGTCCAAACTTTGAATAGGTACCAGCTATGACCCCCTCTTTTCAATTGCATATTAATTTCTATTACTTGTGCCCTCACCTAGATTGTTATGAGAATGTCCAGAAGTAGTGGATATTGTTTGGTCAGTGTCGGACATGTGATCCGCTAAAACTGTCTCATTTGGGTACAGGGAAGGTTTTGGGGGCATTTCAAGACTTTCCACATCATTTGCTTCTAACATTTCTATCACTTTGCTCATTGAAGGACGATCAATAGGTTTTAGCTGTATACACCAGAGTGCTATTATGATCATTTTCTTTGCTAAATCCTTTTCTTCTTTTGTCAGATCCTCCATTGCTATGTCTTTATCATCATCCAGCGGATCATAAATTCACAAGGGAAAGTAAAGTTGGCTTGAACATTCTGCATGTGGGTTCAAGTTTCTTCTTCTCCCGGCCATTTCCATTAAAAGCATTCCAAAACTATAAACATCTGCCTTATAAGACACTCCTCCAATATTCTTGTAGAACAATTCAGGAGCCATGTATCCTATTGTACCTCTCGCTGCAGTCAAAGTGACAACACTATCATCAACAGCATATAATCTTGCCAGCCCAAAATCCGAAATATTTGGAGTGAAGCTATCATCAAGAAGAATGTTATGAGGTTTGATATCAAAATGCAATATTTGCATGTCACAACCATGATGAAGATAAGCAATCCCACAAGCCACCCCTAAAGATATCTCATATATTTTGTGATAACCCAAGGAGATGCTTTCTTCTTTGGAAAAAATATATTTGTCCAAAGACCCTTTACACATAAATTCATAGATAAGAGCACGCTTTGTTCCTTCTAGACAAAACCCAACAAGGTGTACCACATTAAAATGGTGAATCCTCCCAATTGTTGCCACTTCATTGATAAATTCTTGGCCATCCGCTTTGGATTTGCCCAATATTTTGATAGCAACTTCGGGTCCACTCCTTAGCTTCCCTTTGTAAACAGTGCCAAAGCCACCTTCACCTAACTTTTTCTTGAAACCTTGGGTCATTGTCTTCAAATCCTTGTAAGAGTACCTTATTGGAATGAGGTTATGAAGTCGTATAAAATCTTCGATGTCTTCATATATTGATAAATGTCTCCTATGACATTTATAAAGCAATAGCGGAAATAGGAATATGATGCCAAATAAAAATCTCGTTGTGATGATTGGCAAAACAACTCTTCCAGTAGCTATTCCTAATGTGATTGCAACATTTGTTAGATCAACATGATTGTCAATATAGCGAGGGTCAGTAGTCCAGTTCATATAGCGAGGGTAAGTAGTCCAGTTCACTATTTGCCGAAATCCTGCAAATATGTAGTTTCATAAATATTAGATGTTTGGTTATTCAAATAAAGATGACTACACCTGGATCAAATATTTCATTTTTTCATTATAGACTACATTATGAATATTTCTTCTAGAGGTCAAGAATATTTTACAATAATCATAAATTACGTAACTGTGTTGCTTAAAAATAGAGCACCTTTTCATTTTCCTTCACTCTGTTTTAAATAGATATATAAAAAGAGGGGTAACCATGATGGTGATGAGCATATATATAGCTAATTACCAGACACATAAATATTTTGCAAATAAAGTAAGGGCTTATCATCAAATAAAGTAAGGACTAACTCAAGTAGTGAGAAAGGTGGGAATAGGATGGAAAATATCGTTTAATCCTCATGATGTAACCCCAAAAAAAATGACTAGCTATATTGTTTTAGTTAATTCATTATTAGTTTAATTTAATATATTAATTATTCGTTTTTAAAACTTTGAAACAAAGTTATAGGCAAATATGGAATAAATTAAAAGATTATAAATCAAAACAAATTAGATAGTTTGGCAAAAAAAAAAAAAACAAATTAGATAGAATCTTACCTTTATAAATTCCATAGAGGTAATCTGCAAGAAAATTTAACAGAATAAGTCAACAATGTCAAGGGTGGCTATAAAAGTAAATAGCAACAAAAAAACGAACGTTGTTGTAGGTGAGAAGATTTTGTTTCGTAGAATACTCCAACTTACCTTTTTCGTTTTGTTTTTTCTTTCCAGCCCAACTTATCTGTTTTTTTTTATAATTATTATAGACTATTTTCTTTTTAAATTTACAAAACTACTTTTTTTTTTTTTTGCAGAAAGAACAAAACTATTGTTTATATTTTAAATAACACCTCACACCCATAAATTTATTTGTCATTTTAAACAAATATCAAAGTTGGTCCATTTTCAAACACCATATCCAAAAAGTCAATCTGAGCTAATCCAACGTTTTTGTTTTTATTTTTATGGAGAGCATGATCTTATGTTGTTCAGCAAAAATAGTTGAGTTTTTTTAATTTTAACATATGAATAATTCATTTTAATCTCTCAATGTCATCTTTTTCCCTCTTTTATTGAAACAAATTTGTAAAGGCAGCCTTAATGGATGATTCTTTTAGCAAAAGTAGCCTTAATGAAAGATTTAAAGGAAAAATACTATAAAATACCTGTTAAATTTCAAAATGATACATAGATAATGCTGACTATTTCTATAAAGATTTTTACAGGTCAAATTTACTTTTTTATCATTTTAAAATTAAACGGGTATTTTTTTATATCATTTTTCTTAATTTAAAAGGAGGTTATATTTGAAGCGTACCCGAACTAAACTAAACATTAATAGTAAACTATACCTTCTGCAAATATGCGCAACCTTGACAATGGTGCTACGTCACAAAAACCGAAGAAGATTAAAAGATAAATAAATAACTTTAATAAGCGAACTCCGGGGGAAAAAACATAACATAAACATATAATATTAGCAATATTAACACAAACTGACCAAGGGAGGAAGTAATTTCTATTTAGTTTTAAAAAAATAAAGGGATGACACAAAATCAAATAGAACCTTTCACTCTCTTTAAATGAAGAAAGAAAATAGATGAAAAAATAATAAACTTCTTATATAAACTTTTTCTTTAAAAAAAAAATAATATCCTCTCTATATATATACAGTTTATTAGGTTTATAATATATTACTTCCGGTTTTTAAGATAAGAGTTAATTGACTAATTTGAGTAGATTAAAAAAAACTAGTTAAGTATTATTTATAATAAATAGATTTTTAAAAAAATATCCTTACTAATCAAGTGTATTGGTTAGAACTATTATTATTACAAAGACTATCTCCGAAAAAAATAAATAAATATGAGAGGTAAAGTGAATTGAAATCTTATATTTAGAATCAAAATAAAAGTTAAATAAGCTCTTGTATTAAGGATCGAAAGTAATAAAACATTAGTTAGGCTTTTCGCAAATAAAAAAAATATTAATTAAGTCATTAAATATATTTTAAATTAATAAAATTATATATTTTGTCCTCATGATTGGAAAATCCCCTTCCCCTTCCCCTTCCCCTTCCCCTTCCCCTGTTCTCTTTGTAACAAAGAATAAAAGTAAAAAACTATCATGAATTACTTTGTTGAGCTCTTATATTTCAAGCCAAACTTTTCAAACTGGAGTATGTGCGCGTGTAGATATTCTGTAAATGTGTGAGAAGCTTGAATGTATGATGATAAGGGAAAAGTGACTTACGACAACCGGCGTTATATATGGCCCTGTGACCATAGCAATCAGCTTGACGACATTGGAAAGTTTGAGCATCACGGTGGAAACTGCAACTATCGTAATCGAAACAAGAAATAGCCTCACAACCGTGGTGAAACCAGTTCACCCAAGAAACTTCAAATCCATAGGAAAGCACGCTGTGGATATCGGAATAGGACTTGGCTCCTCCGCGTAGCAATAATGAGTCCCAATCTGAGCTAATGGCGGCCACAAGTTTCACTCGACACCCTGATTTCCAGTCCTTACCCAGTAAGTCTCCAGCAACAGCATACACATGGCCTTCTCCTTTTTCTCTGGACTCCCAACTCACGCAGGGAGACGTATCCACGTACGCCGCGTCATCCCTAACTGGATCGCTGCACTTCATGTACACCATGTGTTTGAATATAGTTTCTGATTCAGGGTGATCGATACAGGCAAAGTCGTCGAAGGAGCTGAAATTGGATTGGGATAGGAAATAACGAGGAAGGGAGGAGCAATCGCCCTCCTGAATGCCAGGATCTACGAGTCGGATTGTGAAGTTTTCGTAGTTGATTCCCAGCACTCTGTATGCTCCATTGTACAGATGAAGGAGAGTGACGTTGTTTTCGCAGGCTAACTCGAATTTGAGGTCGCCGCAGGAGGGTGGGTCATCTCGTAGTCGAAATGGATATGAGATATTTGTGATAATGCCGCACCGAGATGGACTACAGGATTTGTTCTGAAATTGATTACTGAGAACTGCATCCGTTCGAAGCAGAGTGAACCACACTAAATACCAACACCACGAGCCTTTCTCTCTGGCCATCTCTCACAATGACATGTAGCCGCTTGTCTTCTGATTTCTGAACTCTGAGCCTCGCCGTTCACTCCATGACTTTTCTTCTCAACTCAATTCCATAGTATTTATGTATTTATAATACTATGCGAGTAAGCTTTCTTTTCTCTACGCCAAGACCTTCTTTTTTTTTTGTTTTTAGGAAAACTATATTGGAGGTACCTGTATTTTTTTTTTTAATTTTTAATTTGGTACCTATGTGTTTTTTGTTCTTAACTAAACCTTTAATTTTGCTCAATTAACATCATTAATCCTTATATAAAGACTAAAAATACCAATAGAACAAAGTTATAATAGCTAATATTGCTAAAAAAAATAAAATTAAATGTTTAATTAAGAGAAAAAAACACATAGGTACCAAATTAAAAATTAAGAAAAAGTAGAGGTACCTATGATATGGTTTTCCCCTTTTTTTTTTCCTGCCCTTTTTGCCAAATTGATTTGCAACATCTGTTTGACTGGGTGATTAAAGTTTTGAGGGCCCACGAGGCACGTCTCTGACTTCAAGGAACACACAAAAGTATTTACGGATAGCCCACCACAGGATTTGAACTAAATATGAGTCAAATCCTTGCGAGTAACCAACTAATATTTTCGTTGGCTAAAAAATTAAGAAAAATTGATGTCTAAATCAGTCCAAATTTGTTCCTATAAAGTAGCAGAGAACACGGCTATCATTTTGAATGAAATTACTTCATACTTGTGTAGAGAGAACTCTGAGTCCAACTTTTAGATTGGGCAGAGATACAAAAAACTTTGACTGCAATGTTTTCTTATCACAGATTTTCTTGGTTGTTGATGGTGCAGGTATTGGTCTCGCTGATGAATCTGGGGGATGCTCATGAAAGTGTTCCCTTTCATCTCGTGCAAGTTACAAATGAAACCGTGACGATGGTTGAGTTCCCGACAGTACCAGCTCTCAAAGGAGCAAGCTTCTACGTCTCATCGATAGACTATGAGTCCCGCATCTTAGAAATATATGAAAGTGGAGATTGTCCTCCCAGATTCTTTCTACAACGTCTCTACAATTCATCCATTTATCCTTTCCAATTTGATTATCCCGACATGCCGTCCAATCTTACTTTCTTAGATTGCTCTTCGTTTGCGTTGAGCTCATTCTGTTCACCTAATATGAGTACTTCCGACTGCTTCTGCCCAATTTATGCTGTTAGCTCTGAAGATAGTGTCTTGGCTGTGGACGGGGACCAACTAATTTACTGCACTTCGGTGTTTCAATTAGTTTCACCCATACCCGCAGGAGAACTTACATTTGGCATCTTGAGACTCAGATGGCCTAAAGCAGACGTTGAAAAGCACAAAACCAGCAAGATTCTCACGGTTGCTTTACCATCCACAGGTGACAATAATTGAATTTGCCTATGCTCTATTGTCGTTAATTTCGTTTTTTGGACGTTCATTGGATTGAATGGAATGTTCATTTGTATGCTTTGTGTATAGGTCCCCTTGTGCTCGTGTTGCTGTTCATTTTTGGCTTTTACATATATCACTTCTTCAAAAAGATAGATGATTAAGCAAGACTGGAAAAGTTTATCGACGATTACAGGGCACTCAAGCCCACTAGATTCTCTTATGCTGACCTTATGAGAATCACAAAGCATTTCAAGAAAAAATTAGGTGAAGGAGCTCATGGAACAGTCTCAAAGGTCAGTTATCTACTGATATTGAAGTGGCTGTAAAGGTACTCAATCATTCAGAAACCGATGGTAAAGACTTCAATAATGAAGTGGGCACGATGGGTAAAATTCATCACATCAATGTTGTCCGATTGTTGGGCTTTTGTGCTGATGGATTCCACCGTGCTCTTGTTTATGACTTCTTCCCAAATGGTTGCCTCCAAAAGTTCATATCTACCCCAGACAACAAAGAACATTTCCTTGGATGGATGAAGCTGCAAGAAATAGCTCTTGCCATAGCTAAAAGGATTGAATACCTTCACCAAGGTTGTGATTATCGAATTCTTCATTTTGACATCAATCCTTATAATATGCTATTAGATCACAATTTCACTCCCAAAATTTCTGATTTTGGTCTAGCTAAATTGTGTTCTAAAAATCAAAGTACGGTGTCGATGACAGCAGCAAAAGGAACTTTAGGCTACATTGCACCTGAAGTTTTCTCTCGAAATTTTGAAAATGTGTCATACAAATAAGACATTTATAATTATGGAATGTTACTGCTAGAAATGGTTGGTGGGAGAAAAAAATATTGACGCAAATCAAGAAACTTTTAAGGTTATGTTCCCAGGATAGATACATAATTTCATTGAAGGGAGAGATATAAATATCTACATTGAAGATGGTGATGAAGTTAAAATTGCAAAGAAGCCAGCAATTATAGGACTTTGGTGTATTCAGTGGCATCCAACAAATCGCCCTTCCATGAAAATGGTGATACAAATGTTGGAAGGAGAAGTTGATAAATTGAAAATGCCTCCCATTCCATTTGACTTTGCTACTTCAAGCAATACAGGTGCCATTATTCCACCAAGACATTTGAATTTTGAGTTGGAAGTGATCCATGAGTTACAATAAATGCACACCCCCACACACACATATATGGTAGGTTTAGAGAGAGAGAGATATATATATATATATATATATATTACTTTTGTTGACAATAATTTGCAAGATTTGTAATGTAAGATTTGAAGTCCATTCCATAATGGATCTTTTTATCATGAAAGAATAGCAATTTATGTTTTCTGTTTCGCATAGTAATGTTTTTCGTATCATCGTCAAATTAAAGTAATGGATAAAATTAATATAATCATGTTTATAGTAAGAGTTCGTTCTGTTTTTTCTCTTGTTTAATATTTAGCTCCCCGTTAGGATGATTAGAATTTTAAAGACATTTACTCAGACTTCGTCTTCGAATTGTGCAATAGATTATTTTTCAAATGACTCTTTCTATGAAAACACGATTTTTTTTTATATTCACTTGTTGGAGTCAGCAGTTTTCTTGTATAAATCAATATATATATGTACAACACAATTCATATTACATCGCATTATTTTAAACTTATAACTAATGTCACTTATTCAAGGAACAAAAAACCGGATCAGGTATTAAATCGGTCGAAATAGTGGGTTAAGGGTTAATTGGTCAGGTCAGGGTTGAACCGGAGTCAGACCGGTAATTATTTTTAAAAAAATAATTTAGGTAAAATTTCAAAAATATTCATTTTTTATTAAAAAATATTTTAATAAAAATAACATTTAGAAGTATCCCATTAAGTGAACATAAGGAGCGGATGACTAGGCTTTGGAAAACGAAAAAGGAAGATACAAGTACTCATAGTGCCTGCAACACGTTACCTAAATCGCCCTCTAAATTCGTGAAGGCGCTAATTAATGCCTGCAACCGGAAATAGAGTACTCATAGTGCCCTTCCCTTCTGGTATTAATGCCTTTCCGCCTTCTCATTTTCATTTCAAATCCTAGGACTATGGCTTTATCGGAGCTCCTTCCTCTCTCAATTTACTGATCTTCATCCCACACAACAAAACTCAAGTGCTCAACTTTTGGAGCATATTCTCTTCCCTCTTCCATGCTCTCTACCTTTTAAAAGAAGTTTTTCACTTCATTTTTTATTATGATTTTTCAGGAGTTTTCTCATAAGTTATTTTTTATCTCTTCCTCTATTTTCCTTCTCTTCTTTCTCTCCCTCTTTCTCCATTTTTTAGATGGACTTTCTTCTTATTTCCCCATTTTGGTCTGGGGTTTGGTCGGGAGGAAGGGAGGGACCGAGGGAATTGCTCCAATGCTGTTGTTTGATTTAATTTTTTTTCCTTTTAAGCATTAGACGACGTCGTTTTGGACTTGGGGAGGGGAAAAATATTAAACCGGTTAAACCCCCCAAAACGAGCAGTTGACCGATTTAATGCCGGCTTGACCGGTTACTTTCCGATTCAACAGGTGATCGGTTTTCTACTTAAACCATACCAGACTTTAGACTGGCTCACCGGTTTTCCGGTTGAACCGGCTAGTCCGGTCTGGTTTTTTTCTTTCCTTGCACTTATTGCATTCTTTAAATTCAATGTAGCACTTAGACGGTAGGGAAAAAAATTTTAAATTAATGCTCAAGGTCCCACCTAATAATCAAGTACTCCCTCCAGTTCCATAGTATGATTAAAAAGTAGGTTAGAAAAAAATTATGATTCAAAGTATAAGATATTGTCAGGATAATTAATACAATTTTTTATTTTTATTCTTAGTAAATATAGGTGAGGGATGAGAAATATGAGAGATAATAAAAGTGTACCATTAAAAGTAATTTTATTTTTTTTTAGGTGTAAAATTGAAAAAAAAATTATCCTTTAATGACTAAAATTCTATTTATTAGTATATGAGAACAATTAACCGACTTTTTATATCATGAACTGGAAGAAGCAGAAGCTTATACATAAATCACAAGAGCATAATTCAAACAACACGTTTAATTATACTCTAATTTTTGGAGATGTAAGATTATCTCTTTGAATTTCTAGAGAACTTATTTAGTAAAAAAGCTAGTCTTATAGGACTCAAGAATAAAAAAGCCAACCCATTTTAGCCCGCTTATACTTTTATTATTATCAATATATTTATATAATTATGGATCAGTTTTTTATGGTCAAGTCTTAATCTGAAACAAGATAATTGAAAAGAATTAGATATTTTGGATTAATAGAAGAACAATTAAAATCAATTTACAATTCTTTTAACAATGCTAGTTGATACTTAAAGCGTTTCAATCATTATAGTAGCTAGTAAATCTTCTTTTATTATCGATTCACATGTCTTAACAAAATACAAAAATTTCTTATTCTAACAAATATTCATACTTTCATTTATACTCATAACTACTGCATAGTTTTACTGTAGATAAAGGTGATGAAGACAAAAACTTGATATTTTTATCATTAAAGAAGAGCCAACTTGTAGTAAAGAACAATTAAATATTGTTGATCTTGATCATAATAAGGAGG